TTTCTGAGTTGTTCCTCCCCCATTAACATAAGCTCACTGCCCCCTAAGGTTCCTGTCTAATCTTCGAGTTTCTGTTGTCATTTTGATCCCATATAGATAGATCTTAAAACAACACAATGCTTAAGGCAGATATGCTTTACTAGTTAAGCTAAACTATTGTTTGGTTTTAAGAAGACTTCAGAGGATATCTTTGGTTTAAGGTTTAAAGATTATCTCAGAGCAATAGTTTTGGGGGTTCATCCAGCCTTCATGGCTCCAGAAAGTCTGGAGTCCATGAGAATTTGAAATTCTGTGTTTTACCCATTTTGGTCAGGATTCATCTATAGAATGTTTGATCAAAATGTTCTGTAATGGTAGCAGGGCACCATCTAGTTCTTCTGGTCTCATGGCAAAGGAGGCAGTTGTTCATGGAGGCAATTAGCCACACATTGTAATCTGCTCTTTTTATAACTCGGAAGTGATTGAATTTAGAACCCACCCTACTCAGATATGACCTAATTAACATAACAAGGAAAACCCTATTTCCAAACAGTATGACATCCACGGGTACAGGGATTAGGATTCCAACACATATTTTGGAGGACAAAATTCAGTCCATAACAGGGATGAGGCTTGTGTCTTCCCAACTGAGGCTCGGACCAGTTTTAGGTCAGGTCTCGAGCAGCGCCTGAGGGGCACGCGTGCGATTTACTGAGTGGGGCTCTCGGGAGACCCCTGGGAGAGCGGAGTGAGGGAGCAGGATAGGGCAGAGGAAGAAGTGGGGCAAAGGTGGTATATGAGTATCCTGTGCTGCTGTAACAAATTACCATGAGCTTGGTGTCTTAACAGAAACATGTTCTCTCAGAGTTCTAGAGGCCAAAAGTACAAAAGCCTTACCATTGGACCAACATAAGGTGTCAGTCGGCTGTGCTCCCTCCGGAGGCTCCAGGGGAGAGTTTATTCCTGGCCTCTTCTGGCTTCTGGTGGCTGCCGGCATTCCTTGGCTTGTGGCCACATTGCTGCAGTCTCTGCCTGTTTGCACACGGCCGCCTCCTCTGTGTGTGTCTAATATCCCTGCTCCAACTGATGTGAGCAAAAATTTTTTTTAAATGGTTGCTGTCAAGTCTACTTCAACCTGTGGTGACCCCACGTGTGTCAGAGTAGAATTGTGATGCATAGGGTTTTCCTGGCTGATTTCTCAGAAGTAGGTTGCCAGGCCTTTCTTCTGAGGTGCTTCTGGGTGGGCTGGAACCTCCAACCTTTCAGTTAGCAGCCAAGCACATTAACCATTTGCACCACCGAGGAATCTGAACAAAAGTAGGGAACGTTTATTGGACAGATACAAGCCGCTCTGATGCAATCTAGGACAGGAAGTGAAACTGGACTCTGAGGGGACTAGATGTGGGAGCTATATACTCATCAGGCTCAGGACGGCCCCTTTATTTGCCATCGAAGTCTTTCCCTTTGAGACCTCCATCTTGGTATTCCACTCAATCCCTTCCCCGACTTCCTCGATTCCTCCTCCAAGCAAAGCCAGCAAGGCCATGAGTCACTCCTCCCTGATTTCTATTTACTCCATTTGCATACAGTTTCCTTCATTAGCAAGTCATTAGCATTAGGAGGGGAGACTCCAAGCTTGATGTTCAGGAGTGATGCCCGTGCAGCCTGTTCCTAACTGAGACCTCTGCCCCCCAGCTTTGACCCCAATTGCATTCTTGGGTCCTTTTGCGTTTGCGAGAATTAGCACATTCATAGGTTCTTCCCTGTTACCTTCTCTGTCTTCACGTCTTACCAGACCTAGCCTCCTAAATCCTTCACCCTGGAGCACTCTCTTCTGATGAATACAGTAAGCAGAATATTGTGCAGCAGCCCCTACGAGCTAGAGGTAGACTGAGATGACAAACACCCTGGAGCCTCAATGACTTAACACACAAGGGGTTAATTCCCATCCACTGCCCCTGCCCCGAGGGAGAAGGCTGTCTGTGTCAGAGCCCCCAAGGGTGCAGGCTGCTGGACTGCCACTGTCTCAGACATCCCCGGCCACCAGGCAAGACAGCCTGGAAGGTCTCTCATCAGAAATGAAATGTTCCAGCGAGGAATGACGTGGGTCAGGGTAGTCACAGCCGCACCCCACTCAACAACAAGTGAGCTGGAAGGACAAGACAACCCCCCGTGTGCCCCAAGGAAGAAGCAGACAGCTTTGGCCGATGGGTGTCCTGACCACCTCCTGGAGACAGATGTGGACACGGCAGTGCATGGACACCAGATGATTGTGGGGGCCTAGGTGTGCAACCTCCCAGCCAAATAGTGTGTGTTTGTGTTATTTAGCACAGATGGTTCACACACACTCACACATGTACACATCCACACGCATGCACGCAGATACACACGCATACTCACACAAACACACACATTTGCACACACATACACAGGTACTCAAATGCACACACAAATACACATGATCACACACTCATGCATGCACACAGATGCTCACACACATACATGCATACACATACATAATCACATATGCGCACACACACACTCACACACACACAGATACACATGCTTACACACACACACAGTCACACACACGCATGCACACTCACTACAGGCACTCACATTCGCACACATGCCCACACACACACACACACACGCACACTTATCCCTGTCTCAGCTCCCTGCTGCGCGGTCCCAGTGTCCCAGGTCCAAGCCTGGGCGTGTGTGACCTCATCGTTACCTCCCCTCAGAGCACCCTGCACAGACCCTTTGTCCTCTTTCTCTCTCCTGCACCCCATCCTTCTCCGGCATCTTGGTCCCACTTTTCTCACCACCCTGAGTGATAAACACTGAGTTAAAGAAAAACCCAGAGCTCAGCTTTGCACGCACGGCTATACCTAGTGCGCCCCAGCACCCACTCGCTTCATCCACGGGGGACGGGGCGGCATGCTCGCCAGGCTGACCACCAGGCTCCTGGTCTCAGCTCCCCTGCCAGGAGAGAGCATCCAGAATGCTTGACTTCACGTGAACAGCCTGCTGCTCTAAAAATGCGTCTTACCGCCTGTTTGCCTCTATCGTCTGTCTGTCTGCCTGTCCATCTCTTTCCTGCCTTCCTCACTTCCTTTTTCCCCTTCTACCTCCTCCCTCCTTCCCTGTCTACCTACTTCTTCTTAAGGGTTAGTGTTTAGCTGCTAGTCCTGACACATAAACCAGGTGCCTTCAGTTCAACCCTGACTCCTGGTGACCCCGTGTGTGTCAGAGCAGAGGTGTACTCTACAGGGTCTTCAATGGCTGATTTTTCAAAAGTAGATCGCCAGGCTTTTCTTCCGGGGCACCCGTGGGTGGACTCAAACCACTAAGTTTTCAGTTAGCAGCCGAGCGCGTTAACCATGTGCACCACACACGGATTCCCACTCCTCACAATAGTGACCTCAAAATACCCCCTGCTCTTCCCTTTCCGAGGAAGTTCGCGGCTGAACTAGAAAAAGACCGTGAAATAGCAGTGGTGCACGACAAGCTGTTTATTGGGATGGACACGTTGGCCACTGTCATGGATTGAACTGTGTCCCCCAAAAATATCTGTCAGCTTGGCTGGGTCATGAGTCCCAGTATTGTATGACTGTCTGCCATTTTGTCATCTGATGTGATTTCCCTGTGTGTCGTAAATCCTATCACTATGATGTTAATGAGATGGATTAGGGACAGTTATATTGATGAGATCTATAAGATTAGATAGAGTCTTAAGCCAGTCTCTTTTGAGATATAAAAGAGAGAAGTGAGCAGAGAGACATGGGAACCTCACACCACCAAGAAAGCAGTGCCAGGAGCAGAGCACATGCTTTGGATCCAGGTTGCTGCGTGGAGAAGCTCCTAGTCCAGGGGAAGATTGCTGACAAGGACCTTCCTCCAGAGCCGACAGAGAGAGAAGGCCTTCCCCTGGAGCTGATGCCCTGAATTTGGACTTCTAGCCTCTTAGACTGCAAGAGAATAAACTTCTCTTGGTTAAAGCCATCCACTTGTGGTATTTCTGTTAGGGCAGCACTAGATGACTAAGACAGCCACCCAAATGCAGGGAACAGTCTCCTCAGCAGGAGGTCTGCCAGAGGCAGGCAGCACAGGGAGCCCCCAGAAGGAAAGAGGGCATGGAAACCCCGGGGAAGAGGAGAAGGGAGGGGGTCTCACATGGGATTATGGGGTCTCTGGGTCAGAGAACCTTGAAGATAGTGACAGCTGGGGACCCTGATAACTACAGGGCTTATCTTATCAAGGGCTAGCAGAGTCCCTGGTGGTACAGTCTGAAAGGTTGGTACTTTGAGTCCACCCAGAGGCACCTTGGAAGAAAGGCCTGGTGATCTACTTCCAAAAAATCATCTTTGAAAACCCTGTGGATTAGCTCACACAGCAAAGACTATCACCCATGAGTACTGTGCTCCTTTAAAAACATCATCCACATAAGACCAAACAGTCAACAATTACTGTAAAACAAGGATGAAAATATAAGAGGGCAGGGAAACTAGATTAATGGAAGTGGAACACCAGAACTGAAATATGGAGAACGTTCACTCGTTGTGAAGAATGTAACCAGTGTCTCTGAATAATTTGTGTAGAAATTGTTGAATGGGAACCTGAACTGCTGTGCATACCTTCACCGAAAGTATAATAATTTTTTTTTTAAATTCCTAAGGAGCCACATGGGGTTGCCACGAGTCTGAACCGACTCAGTGGCAGCTGATTTGGTTTTTGGCATGGCTGGCGGGTACTGGGGGAATTTCACAGGGTTTACAAAGCAGACAAGCTCTAAGCGGCTAAAAACCTGCCGATTTGGCTACTCTTAAAAGAACTGGCTGTGCACAAATTTGAGTTGGCGCTGGTGTGCGTTTTTGGGCAAATGGGCCTCAGCTTGCTATGAAGATGTAAACACCTGGGGCCAATGTGCTGAGGCCATCTTGACTCACCTGTCTCACACTCAGGTGATAGACTGTACTGGAAACTCATGCGCGTCCCCGCCCTCTCACACTTCACAGGTGTCTGACAGGTGCGACTACGTCTTTGTCAACGGCAAGGAGATGAAGGGCAGGGTAAATGTGGTGGTGAACTTCACCTACCAACACCTGCACGGCGCCCTCGAGATGACGGTGTGGGTGCCCCAGCTGCCCCTGCACATCGAGGTCTCCGACACTGAGCTCAGCCAGATCAAGGGCTGGAGGGTGCCTATCATCGCCAACAAGAGGTGGGTGTGCTTGCCAAGACCCCCCAGCAGCAACCCACGTCAGATGTGCTGAGGCTAGAAAGGGAATTCTCAGGGGCAGCTACTTTCAGTCCGTGTGCTCCTTCAGGCATGGCTGGATCCAGGGGGTCCATGATACCTCTCCCCCTGTCCATGTCTCGGCTCTGATGCGCTCAGTGTTGGCTTCATTTGTCATCGTGCTTTTCACATGAGGTTCCAGCCTTCCACCTCACGCTCTCTGCATCCCCAGCAGACAGCGCATCATCTCTTTCCCAATGTCATAGTTGTCAGTTGCCATCAGTCGGCTCCGACTCACGACAACCGTATGTATAACAGAACGAGACGCTTCCTGGTCCTGCCCCGTCTTCATGATCGTTGGCATGTTTGAGCCCATTGTTGCAGCCACTGTGTCAATCTGTCTTGTTGAGGGTCTTCCTCTTTTTCGCTGACCCTCTACTTTACCAAGCATGATGTCCTTTTCCAGGTACTGGTCCCTCCTGGTATCATGTCCAAAGTATGTGAGACGAAGTCTCGCCATCCTTGCTTCTAAGGAGCATTCTGGTCGTACTTCTTTCAAGATAGATTTGTTCATTCTTCTGGCAGTCCATGGTATATTTGATATTCTTCACCAACACCGTAATTCAAATGCAAATTAAACACTCAGCTGCTAACCAAAAGGCCAGCAGTTCAAACCTACCAGCTGCTTCTGGGGAGAAAAGACCTGAGGATCTGCTCCCATAGAGATTACAGCCTTGGAAACCCTATGGGACGGTTCTACTCTGTCCGACAGGCTCGCTATGAGTCGGAATCGACTCGACATCAATGGGATAGAGTTGCAGGGTCCCCACTATCCACCATCAGGTGCCCATACGGGCACTAAGTGAACAGGGGGAGGTAGGGGCCCAGGCGCTGCGTTCAGAGACTCTGTCATCACAAAGAAGCCCCGGCATGAGGCTCGTGCACAAGGACATGCAGGATGCCACCACCAGCCAGTGCAGAACTGGGCCAGGGCGTGGTCCCGGAGCCTGTGTGCCCCTTCAGCAGAGCAGGGAGTCGGTACCTCTCTGAGAGAACATGCAGATTCTTCGAGCAGGCTTGAGTGCAAGGGGCTGAGTGCTGGAGGGCGTGATGGTGCCGAGAAGGGGCTGATGGCACACGAGGCCGCAGGTAACAAGGGACGCACCAACATCTGTCCCCTCCTGGCCCTCACTGCCTTTGTCTTCACGTCCTGCCTTGCCCTGGCTTACACACGCACCTCCTTTGTGGACTGGTTTATAGGGCTGTAACAATCGTCCATGTTGTGGTTAGCTGCCATCAAGTCGGCTCTGACCCATGGTGAGCCCATGTGCAGCAGAACAAAATGCTGCCCGGTCCTGCACCATCTTCATCGGTGGTCTGCTCGAGTCCACTGTTGCAGCCACTGTGTATTTTGAACGCCTTCTAACCTAGGGGGCTCATCTTCCAGCACTATATGGACAGAGTTCTGTTGTGATCCATAAGGTTTTCATTGGCTGGTTTTTGGAAGTAGGTTGCCAGGCCTTTCTTCCTAGTCTTAGTCTAGAAGCTCCGCTGAAACCTACTCAGCATCATGGCAACATGCATACCGGTGGCTACACTTTCTGAATGTCGCCCCTGCTTGTCTGTCTGAGCCCACACCAGGCTGTGATCCCCGTGAAGGCAGGGACAGCGGCTCACGTTTGCAGCCCATGTGGTGGTCCGCACACAGTCCCTGACAGGTGACCAACAAGAAGCACCTGTTAGACTAAGCTGTCTCTTCAACAGGCCAGCCCGGGACAGCGAGGAGGAGGACGAGGAGGAGCGGCGGGGCCGGGGCTGCACCCTCCAGTACCAGCATGCCATGGTGCGGGTCCTCACCCAGTTTGTGGCCGAGGGGGCTGAGCCTGGGGGGCACCTGGCCCACCTGCTGGGCTCTGACTGGCAAGTGGACATCACCGAGCTGGTGCACGACTTCATGCAGGTGGTGGAGCCCAGGATCGCCCAGCTGCAGGGAGGACAAGTCCTGGTTGGGCAGGAGCTTGGGATGACCACCATCCAGGTACGATGCCCCGAGGCCCAGGCTCCTGTGTCCCTGCCCTGCTGACAATCCAGCCCAGGCTCCCCATGTCCCTGCCCCACTGAGAATCCAGTCCAGGGCTTCTGTGTCCCTGCCCCACTGAGAATCCAGCCCAGGCTCCCCATGTCCCTGCCCCGCTGAGAATCTTAGCCTTATGTCGTTGCTTAAAACAGTATCTTTTCACAGTGAGTAGATTTAAAGACATTGTTAAGGGCATAATATAAGTGGCATGGTGTTGTGACAGAAATCTTGGAATTCTTCCTATATTACTTACATCAGAGAAACACTGGGCCAGCTCCTCTGGTTGGGTCCCATGTGACCCTCTGGTGCGTGATTTCCCCTAAGAGATGCCCAGTGGGCCCGCTTGGGACCGAAGCCCTGGAGATGCGCTGGTGTCATCGGCCACCCCCCTCACTGACCGCCGCCCCTAAGCCTCTTCCCATCCGTCCGGGATGTTGTGGCGGCCTCTGTCGGTCCCGGCCTCGGGCTGGATGGGAACTCGATCGTCTCAGAAGTGGGCTGGAAGAGGGAACAAAGTATTCTAACCTTGTCAGCATGCAGGCATAGAGGAAGTGAATGTGTGGGCACTTCCCGAGGATGGGGTGGTGCTGGTGGTGATGGAGCTTATTTGTGGGGTAGGGAGAGGGGTGCCACCCTGTGGCACCACCTTGCTGTCACGGAGAAGTGCGTTCCACATACACAGGTGAGCTGCAGGTGTTAAAGGAGGACCCCGTGGGGAGACCTCCCCCCAGCTTCCCGTGCTGTGGGTGACTCCTGGGCTCGCAGCAGCCTCCCCTGTCTTGTGCTCTGCCCTCAGATCCTGTCGCCCCTGTCAGATGCCATCCTGGCCGAGAAGACCGTCATGGTGCTGGATGAGAAGGTGGCCATCACGGACCTTGGCGTCCAGCTGGTGGCGGGACTGTCACTGTCCCTGCAGCTCAGCCCAGGCAGCAACAGGGCTATCTTCGCCACGGCAGCGGCCCAGGAGCTCCTGCAGAGACCCAAGCAGGTGTGTGGGGGCTCGGGCCACACGCGGGCGGGCACATGGCCCATGGGGCCACGTGTCGAACGGGGTGGCACATCAGGCAGGGTCACACATCCGTAAGGTCGCGCGCCAAGTGGACTCACAGTGGTTGTGTCAATGGTGGGGGTGCGGGGTTTGTATAGCGGCTGCATGCTCTACCTCTTCCTCCCAGCTCCCCAGACAAAAACGCACAAGAAGATGGCTGTGTGAGTCAGAGGTGACAGGCCACCCAGAGTCAGAGAGCCCACAGAAGGCCCCTCCCCTCAGCTGTGAAGCCAAGTGCTGCTCAGGTGGTTGTTAATGCGGGCTCATGTGCCCTTCGTCGGTCCCCTGTCCACACAGGCCTGGTCGTGGGCATGGCTGTACCGAGATGGTGGACGGGGGGCACAGTAACCACATCCTGCCGCTCCGTCCCCGCGAGGAGAACAGGGTGTCTCGTCGGGGCTGGGGAGTGTGAGGGGATGGTGTCCACCCCGTTACTGTTGAGCTCAGGGCGGAAATAGAGCCACAGTGATATCAGTCACAGCTTTTCCTTTCCATCATTTGACATACCAAGGGACGAGCATGTGCTAGAACCCTGGTGGCGCAGTGGTTAAGAGCTCAGCTGCTAACCAAAAGGTCAGCAGTTCGAAGCCACCAGCTGCTCCTTGGAAACCCCGATGGGCCAGTTCTGCTCTGTCCTATAGGGTCACTAGAAGTTGGAGTCGATGCTAATAGAGCGTGTGCTGTGTGCATATATGCATGTATGGTATGTGTTGTGTATGTTGTGTGTATGTGAATATGTGTATTGCAGGTATATGGGTATGTGTGTCTGTGTGCTGTGGGTAGGTGAGTACAAGTACGTATGTCGTGTATGTATGTCGTATATGTATGAGTGTGGAGTGTATGTGTATATGGTGCATGTATGTATGGGTATATGTATGTGATTTGTATGTATATGCGTGTGTATATATGTGTATGTGTGTGGTGTATGTGTGTGGTGTGTGTGTATGTGTATAATGTATGCGTTGTGATGTGTGTATTATGTATATGTGTATGTGTATATGTGTGTGTGCCTGTGTGTTGTGTGTACATGTGTGGTATGTATTGTGTATATGCATATTGTGTGTGAGCATATGTATGGTATATGTGTGTTGTATTTGTACATATGTATGTGTGGTTTGTATGTGTGTTGTGTGTACATGTGTGGTATGTATTGTGTATATGCATGTTGTATGTATGTATGTGTGTATATATGTGCTGCGTGCTTGTGTGTTGACACCATTGTTCCATAACCAAAGGAGCATTTTGTAGGGCATCTGCAGATGCCCCATGTTCTCCTCCGCCACGGGGTGGGCACTCATTATCTCCTGGAAGGAGCGCACAGATTCCGTCACCCTTGTTAACAAGACAGTGGTCGCAGACCATTGATTCAGCACCCGTGAAAAGGGGCCGTCCTCGTGTGGGCTGGTAGGAGGCCCAGCCCTCGTGAGAGGTTTTTCTGGAAGCTCCCCTCGTCAGCTGGGACAGCTCCCCCTCAGCAGGCGGGTCACCAGAGCCGGCCGCCCCTGTGAGCGCCCACTGAGGCGGGAAGGGGCACTGAGCCAGGCCGGCCCCGGGACACAGCCTGCCCGTCCCCCCACGTCACGCTGCTCTCTGGCAGGTGTGACCCATCCCCCACCCACAATGTGTCTCCAGATCAGAACACACTTGAAAGTGGCCAATCCCGCAAAGAGAAGAATTCTTGACAAAGGCAGACCTCCCTTTTTTCGAGGAAAGAGGCCAGGTGGACGGAAGCCACAGAGAGCAGAGAGAAGTCACTGCGGCTGCTCTGTCTCCAGGGGGTGATGAATCAGGGGACGCCAGCTAAGAGGGAAGGAAGTGACAGGGCACAGCTCGAGTCAGGCCAAATTGCTAACCCATTTCTGGCACACAGAGCTGAGCACACGACCGAGATTTGCCCGCGGTTTGGACGGCCCTTAGTCCCCGTGTGCAGCTGAGCTCTGACATTTCCGGCTTCAGAAATCCAAAGTGCCTTGAATGTCCTGCTCGGATTTCACGGCAGATTGGAGGAACCGGGGAACCAGCGTCGGGTTGGATGGTTTCCGCGCTGTGTCTCGGCTGGGTTTCCGTTGAGGAGCCGGTCCACACCGATGTCTAACCAGATCCGGACTTGTTGGTGGGGTGCAGGAGGGCGCGGGGTCACCGACCATGTTTTTTTTATTGTGGTGAGAATATACACAAGAAAACCTACGCGGTCTCCAAAGACCCTCCGTGTGCAATTCAGTGACGTTGTTTACAGTCTTCAAGCTGTGCAACCTTTTTGCACTCCCACCAGCGATGGATGACGGCCCCAGTTTGTCCGCAGTCTCGCCAACAGCTGTTTGCCGAGTTTTTTTTTAAATCGTTGCTAACGGACGTGAGATGGTATCCCATTATCGTTTTGATTTGCATCCCCCTAACGGTTAACGACGTGCAACCATTCTCACTACCCTTTTCCAAATTATTCCACCGCCATTAACAGAACTTCAGTGCCCCTAAGCAATGACTTCCCCTTCCCCCACCGCCCGACCCCTAAACCTGAAAAAACCCTTTGTCATTGAGTAGATTCTGACTCATAGCGACCCTATAGGACAGAGTAGAACTACCCCATTGGGTTTCCAAGGAGCGGATGGTGGATTTGACCTGCCAGCCTTTAGGGTTAGCGGCCTGAGCGCTTAACCACCGCGCCACCAGGGCTCCTCCCACCCCCTAGTAACCCCTAATAATCTTTTTAGTGTATTTGCTTATCTCCCGTAAGTGCGAGCATACAGCATTTGTCCTGTTGTGACTGACTGCTTCTGCTCAGCAGGCTGTTTCAAGGTTCGTCCATGCTATAGCACGTATCAGAACGTCGTTTCTCTTTATGCCCGAGTTGTATCCCATATGCGTATACACCACATTTGGTTTATCCAGTCATCTGTTGATGGCTGTTGTGGAAACTGCCACAGTGAACGCTGGTGTACAGGTTTCTATTTGCATCCCTGCTTCTGATTCTCTTGGGTGTACACCGAGGACTGGGATCTCTGGGCCACAAGGTAGTTCTGTGTTCAACTTTCTGAGGAACCACCAAACCTTCCCACAGTGACTGTACCATTCTGTATTCCCATCAGCAAGGGATGAGGGTCCCAGTTTGTCTACAACTTCGCCAACAGCTGATTTCCGTAGTTTTTTATCATTGCCATTCTAATGGGGACGAGGTGGTATTGGTTTGCATTTCCCTAATGGCTAATGAGAGCCCTGGTGGTGCAGAGGTCAAGAGCTTGGCTGCTAATCAAAAGGTCCGCAGTTCGAATCCACCAGCCACTGCTTGGAAACCCTATGAGGCAGTTCTACTCTGTCCTACAGGGTTGCTGTAGGGCCTCTATGAGTCGGAATCGACTTGACACGGCAATGCGTTTGGTTTTGGTTAATGGCACTGAGCATCTTTCCATGTGTCTGTCCACTATTTGAATATCCTCTTTGTGAAACGTCTGTTTAAGTCCTCTGCCCATTTTTTGGTTGGGTTGTTTGTCTTTTGTTGTTAAGTTGTAGATGGGAGAAGGCAGGATATTAGAACCTTATCAGATATACAGTTCCCGAAAATTTTCTCCCAAAGTGTAGGTTGCCTCTTCACTTTGTTGATTAACTGGCCACTTTGGGGTGCCTTTCTTCTTACTTCCAAAGACAAAATAACACGAGTGTCACATTTACTTGGGGTCCCTGGATGGTGCAAATGGTTAACACACTTGGCTGCTAACTGAAAGTTTGGAGGTTTGAGTCCACCCAGAGGAGCCTTGGAAGAAAGGCCTGGTGATCTGCTGCTGAAAACTCAGCCACTGAAAACCCTATGGAGCACAACTCTGCTCTAACACACATAGGGTCACCATGAGTCAGAGTTGACTCCACAGCTACAAAAACTGACTTCTGTGATGCTCAAGGCCTACTGGTTGGAAGAACGAGAAATCCACCCACACGAGCGTAAATCACAAGGGTTTCATTATGTGGGTCGGGGGCATCTTGTAGACCCAGCTGTCAGACCTCAGAAGGGCCAGATGGTCAACACTCTGTCATGCCGCCCCTCCCCCGTCATTGTCTTTGGTCTCATTTCTTCTTCTCCTGTAGATACATTCTGTGCCCAGACGTTTCCTGGTTCATCATGACTGCTCCAAAGCAGAGCCTTCCTTGAACAGAAAATTCAGATGTGTTTTGGATCTCTTTAAATTGAAACATCAGGGCCAAGCTGCAGGCGGGGTCTTCAACGCTGGGTTGTTCTGACTCTGAGTCCCCACACATCTCTCATAGCCAACTGTGTCAGTCCTGGCTCTTATTTCAGATGAGAGAGAGGAACAGACAGAGCTGCTGAGTGCCTCAGGGCTGCTGAGATTAAAGGCTCTGGCCGCAACTGCTCCCACCCCTGTCCACTCGGCTGTACCCAGGTGGGCAGGGTTACACGTCCATCATTTGAGGCTTGGGATAGAGCAGGTTCAGGAGAAGGCAGGAAGCAATGAGTCTGCCAAATCACTGTCAAGTATAAAGGCATCTTGACTAAAATTGACAAAACCACCAGAATGTTCCTTAGAAGCAAGGATGGTGAGACTTTGGCTCACTTACTTTGGACCTGTCTTCAGGAAAGACAAGTCGCTAGAAAGGGACCTCCTGTTTGGTAAAGCTGAGGGTCAACGAAAATGAAGGAAACTCTCAATGAGTTGGATCAACACAACTGCCTCAACAATGGACTCAGACATGCCAACAAGCATGAAGATGGCGTAGGACTGGGCAATGTTTTGTTCTGTCATACATAAGGTGGCCATGAGTTGGAGCTGACTCAGTGGCACCTAACAATAGCTAAGATGGAAGGCTTGCGTTCAATTGGAGGTTGTCTGCTCTAATATGATCTTCCTACCCAAGCCATTCTCAAGGAATGAAGACCCAAAGCAGCAAAGTGAAAAGGCAAGAGATTTGGAAGTGCACAAGCCTTGGCCCCTGCACACCCTTTGGTTGGGGGTGGGGGATTGCAGAGACAAAGACTTTGCAGCTAGAAGGCTGCTCTTTCTCTCTCTCTCTGTCTGGTTTTAACAGCTCACCTTCCAGTCAAGACTGTGTCCCCAGGCTAGTGCGAGCCCATTGCTGCAGACCCAGTGAAGGCAGGACCAGTGTAGCCCTCTGGGGAGTCCTTGTCTTGATTGGGCCTTAATGTGTATTGTGAGTAATAAGTAGAGATTCAGTATTAGAGCAACTTAGAAATAATGTAATATGTTTCATTTCAATCAATAACACTTGTAAATGATCCCACTAACCACTAACATCCTTTGACACCCAGTTCATTATTGTGCAGAAGTAGATCCTCCACCGCCCAAGGGACCCATTTTTCTGTTAACACCTCCACAAGAGAAACAAACAAATCTTACTGCAGAGTGTTCAGTACTGGCCCTGCTTTGTTGTTGTTGGTGTTTTCTTTCGGTTTTACATCTTCACGAGAATGAATTTTCTTTCATAGGCTTGCGACTTCTTATCTTCCACGTCCACATCGTTGGAAAGGTTTTTCTTTGTTCATGTAGTATCATTTTTGTTTGTTCATGATTGAATTTTTTATTGTGGTAAAAATACACGTAATAAAACATTTGCCAACTCCATTTTTTACACGTATAACTCAGTGACACTGATTACACTCACCACTACCCTTTTCCAAATTATTCCACCGCATTATTAGAAACTCAGTGCCCCCCAAAAAATGGCTACCCCCTTTCCCTCTCCCTCCCTCCCGTACCTGGTAACCACTAATCAACTTGCATCTCTTTACATTTGTCTATTTTGTACAAGTGAGATCATACAGTTTTTATCCTTCTGTGACTGACTTATTTCACTCATCATAATATTTTCAAGGTTCATCCATGTCATATTATGCGTCAGGACTTGGTTTCTCTTTATGGCTGAGTAGTATTCCATTGTATGTATGAACCACATTTTGTTTTTCCATTCATCTTTGATGGACATTTCAGTTGTTTGCATTTTTTGGCTGTTGTGAACAGTGCTGCAGTGAACACTGGTGTACAGGTTTCTGCTTGCGTTCCCCCCGTCACTTCCTCTGCATGTGTACCTAAGATTGGGATTACTGTGTCACATAGCAGTGCTATGTTCAACTTTCTGAGGAAGTGCTGCACTGTTCCCCACAGTGACCGCACCATTTTACATTCCCACCAGCAATGGATGACGGTCCCAGTTTCTCTACATCCTCACCAACACGGATTATTTTTGTTTTTGCTGTTGTTGTTGTTTGTTTTTTGATCATTGCCGTTCCAGTGGGGGTGAGGTGGTATTTCACTGTGGTATTGATTTGCATATCCTTGGAGCCCTGGTAGCACAGTGGTTAAGAGCTCAGCTGCTAACCAAAAGGTCAGCAATTCAAACATACCAGCCACTCCTTGGAAACCCTAGGGGGAAGTTCTACTCTGCCCTATAAGGTTGCTATGAGTCAGAATTGACTCAATGGTTTGGTTTGTTTTTTGGTTGATGACTAATGATGTTGAGTGTCTTTTCATGTGTTTGTTGGCCACTCGAATATTCTCTTGGGTGAAATGTCTGTTCAAGTCTCTGCCAGTTTTCAATTGGGTTGTTTGCCTTTTTATTTAAGTTTTGAGTTCTTTATATATTACGGACATTAAACTTTTATCTGATATGTGGCTTCCAAAAATTTTCTCCAAAGTTATAGGTTGTCTTTTCACTTTCTTGATAAAGTCCTTTGATGAACAAAAGTATTTGTTTTGTTTTATGAAGTCCCGTTTATCTGTTTTGTCTTTGGTTGCTCATGCTTTCAGTATCCTATCTAAGAACCCATTGTTAAAAGTTAGGACCCAAAGCATTACCACTATGTTTTCTTCTAAGTGATTGTGGCTCTTACATTTAGGTCTTTGATTTAGTTTTAGTGGGTAGTGTGAGGTAGGGGTCCAAGTTCATTCTTTTGCTTGTGAACACCCAAGTGTCCCAGCACCATTTAGTAAAGAGACTCTTCTTTCCCCACTGGGTGGACTCAGCACCCTTGTCGAAAACCAGTTGACCTTAGATGTACAGGTACCTTAGTACTTCTTATCTCCTGTGTCTACACTGTTTAAAAGGTTTTTCCTTTGTTCTTGTAGTGTTATTTTTGCCACACCAAGTCTGTTTTACTAAGAGTTGGTGTTTAGTGAGCTTTGCAACCCTTTTTGATTGACTTACTTATTTTATCCAACAGGAAGCGGCCATCAGTTGCTGGGTCCAGTTCAGTGATGGCTCTGTCACGCCCTTGGATATTTATGATGGGAAAGACTTCTCCCTCATGGCCACATCCCTGGATGAGAAGGTGGTGTCTATCCACCAAAAACCCAAATTCAAGTGGCCTATAATTGCTGCTGAAACAGAAGGGCAGGGGGCGCTGGTGAAGGTCGAAATGGTCATCAGTGAGTCATGCCAGAAGTCTAAGAGGAAGAGCGTGCTGGCCGTTGGGACTGCCAACATCAAAGTTAAATTTGGCCAAAATGATGCCAACCCCAACACCAGTGACAGCAGGCATGCTGGGGCAGGATTTCACCTGGAGAATCATGTTGGCGACAGGAGGCCCAAGAAACCTGTGCAAGAATGGGGGGGCCAAGAAGGACAGTACTATAGCAGTTCCTCTGTCGGCCTCATGGAAGGAAGGGGCACCACCACAGAGAGGTCAACCTTCCAGAGGAAGAATGGCCAGGAGAGCCTTCTAGACGATGACAGCCATTTCCAGACCCTGCCCGTGGACCTCACCAGCTTCCCAGCCCAGGTGGACGTGCCCAGAAGTGATGGTGGCATGGATGAGAATGACCTCCTGCAGGCGTACAAGGGGCTGAGTGACTTGGAGATTGGGATGTACGCTCTGCTGGGCGTCTTCTGTCTGGCCATTTTGGTCTTCCTCCTAAACTGTGTGGCGTTTGCTCTGAAGTACAGGCACAAACAGGTTCCCTTCGAAGAGCAGGAAGGCATGAGTCATTCCCATGACTGGGTCGGGCTGAGCAACCAGGCAGAACTACTGGAGAACCATATTAACTTTGCCTCCTCCCAAGAGGAGCAGATTACGGCCATCGACAGGGACTTTGAGGAGAGCAAGTACCTCCTCAGCACAAACTCCCAGAACAGCAGCAACGGCCAGCTGTTCAAGCCTTCGGGTCTCACAGCCACTGATGGGAGAGACCAGAAGAGTGAAGCCCCCACCTCCCCTACCTCGAAACGGAAAAGAGTGAGATTCACCACCTTCACGGTCGCCTCCATGGAGGACAGCAGCCCCGCGGCAAGCTCGCTTGTAACGAGCAGTGAGGACGACGTTAAGTGGGTGTGCCAGGACCTGGGCCCCGGAGAGTACAAAGAACTACACAACTACATGGAAAGGTTACATGAGAATGTGTAAGTGGACACACACACATTGTTCCCACTCACCTCTCAGCCTTTAATTTGGGGATGCGTGGCCACATACACCCTGGGGAGCAGTGAAATGGAGGGACAGGGCAAGGGTGGCACTGTCAACAGAGCCCCAGAACACGACCCCAACTCAGCTGGGCTGGCCCTGAGTCAGAATGGATGTACACATTCCACGTACAACGTCTCACTCCAGGTGAAGAGGCTTATCATTCATGGCAAGATTTTTAAAACTTGGAACAAAATCGAGCTCTGAATCACTGAGCTTCTGAGGGGCTCCAGGAAAGAACAATCTCTCTCTCTCTCTTTAATCAAAGCTATTTGGATATCGTACAATCCACATGGCTCCAGTATTCAGTATTGCAGACTACAGGAGGAAAGTGAAACCCAGGCTGAGCTTAAATGGATCAATGGGAGGGAGTGTGTCTTTTTAACGTGGAGCAGCACCTCTTGCTGGGAGCATAATCAAAGGCAGAGCCTCGTGCCACTGTGAGCTCTTAGGAGGCACTGTTGTGAGTCAGCATCTCCCAAAGACTGGATCAAAGCTGGCCCTAATTATCGACAGACGAAGGCAATTGCTGACAAGGATTAAAAGGGAACAAGTGGGCAAATAGGCCACCGTTCTCTGTTACTAGATGCCAAGAACAAACACAAAAATCCTCTGAGTGGTTCAGAGCATTCCTTTATTTGTAAACTAGGGATACTGGGCATAGAATACCAGTTGGGTTTAAAGAACAAGGCTCTTCTTAGCAAGCTTACCATAATGAATTCTCATGTCTACATTTGTATTTCTCTGTTGCATTGCCCCTGTCCGAAAGCTGTTGACCGTTTGTCAGGGTGGGCGGGGAGGCAGTTTCCAGCTTTGCTGAGTCTCTTTCTGTTCCCTGGGGGTGGTGTCAGCTCCCGGGTGACGGTGTATAGAGATCTCACCCTGGGCATACTCCACGCTGTCCTCCACTGCAGAGAACGTCTTTGGGGACAAGCAGTCTTTACAGTGAACTCAACACCAAGCAACGTCTCCTTCACTTCACTTTTCTAAAAATGAGAGAGGCTGTTTGCACGAGTCTGTTGCCATTCACGTTGCGTCTCCCGTCTGAGGGTTTTCCCTCAAGGCTGCCAAGACGAATCTAGGTGTCCTCATGGAGTGTGAGGGCGGCTGGAGAGTTGGCGCTGGGTATAGATGAGGTGCGATTGGGCAGGTGGTATCCCTGCCCCACAACGCGAGCAGAACGGAAGCTTCTCCGCCTGGGGGAGATGGAGGTGCGTGAGGTTCCAGGGTTAGGGTGGAGAGGCGGCTGTGCAAGCATCTGTTCCAGCGTCAGCTCCAGGGGTCTAGCATCGCTCGGAATCAGCATTACTCTGGAACATTCCCTCAGTCCCTCAGATAAAAAGTTTCTAGGAACCGAGGTGGAGGGGAGATCGGTGGGTTCCTGCCCCCATCTCACTCACTTCGAGGAGGAGAATGGTGGAGGAAATAATTTCAACTAGGATGACCCTGGTGGCGCAGTGGTTAAGAGCTCAGCTGCTGACCAAAAGGTCGGCAGTTCGGATCCACCAGCTGCTCCTTGGAAACCCTATGGGGCAGTTCTACTCTGTCCTGTAGGGTCGCTATGAGTTGGAATCAACTCGATGGCAACGGGTTTGTCTGGTTTTAGGATGACCCTGAGACCACGGGTGGTGGGGAGGAGAGGGGTGGAAGAGACCACGCCGTTGAATCGATCTCTGTGTGTCACGTTCTCTCTCTCTCTTTAGATCTCTTCCAATTCCTCTTTCTCTGTGCTTCTCTCTGTCTCTGTGTCTCTCTGACGCCCCTTTCTCATTGTCCTTCTCTCTCATTCTCTTTCTGTCTCTGTGTATGTCTGTCTTTATCTCTCTTTCCTTTTCTCTCTCATTCTCTCTTGTTCTTTCTCCTTTTCTCTCTTGTGTGTGTCTCTCTCTCTGGGTCTCTCTCTCCCCTCCGCCCGCCCCGTGCATATAATCCCATCCTCCTCAAATACCATGTGCCAGTCCCACAGTTTAGCCTTTAAGCTTCAGCATGCTCCCCTCCAACGGTGCTGCTGGGAGTTTGCTCGGAGACTGGGTTCCCGACAGCCGGGAAGTCAGCTGCTCCTGTCGCCGAGTTTGCTGCCCGTTTGGTTGGGCGATTAACTGGTCACCCCTTTCTGATCATGACTCTTTGCTTTCATTAACCTTCTCCTACCCCTTTCAGTTCTTACCGCGTGGTGTTCCTTTTAATACGGCAGCTGCTGCCCACTCCCGAATCCATCTCCATATAGAGTGTATTGTTGGCTGTAAAAATGTAATATATATTTATAAACACACCGACTGTAAATATAAAGTTGGCATTCAGCAGCTTTACGGCTGTCCTTTGTCTTTCTGCATGCTGACTCTCTGAGGGACTGGCGTCAGTTGCAAATGGCTCTCCGGACACTGTGGCTTTGGGTAAATGAAAATGCAGATTTAAGGATCCCCGCACAATCCAATTACACCCTTGCAGCCTGTAATGCCACTCTCCCCACGGAGGGGATGTGGACACATGTTGACAAAGTGCATCGTGTACTAAGTATCTCTCTTTCAGGACCTGAGAGGATTTGAAAATAAATCACACACACAATTCTCTGCTAAAAGCCGGCTGATGGATGGTGGTGAGTGGGAGTGTGGCAGGCAGGCATAGATTCCAGCCTTCCCTGGCCTGCCGGGAGGAAAGGCACTGCCCTCTCTACAGCTCTCACATGTACACCCAGATGTTACCTGCCTAAGTCAGGGACCTGCAAAGGGTACCTCTGGGCCGGGTCGGAAATGCTGACCTTGAGTCCCTGATAATCAGATGCAACCCAAAACCATTCCATGAAACGAGAAGTTGCATGAAACCCTCATATTCATGCAAACAGTGTCCAGTGATGGTCATTAATGTAATCAGTCAGTATTTATTAAGCTCCTACTATGCATCCTGGAAGGAGCCCTGATGGTGAGTGGTTAAGCCCTCAGCTGCTAACCAAAAGGTCAGCAGTTCAAACCCATCAGCTGCTCCTCGGGAGAAAGATGTGGCAGTCTGCTTCCATAAAGATTACAGCCTTAGAAACCCCAATGGGGCAGTTCTGTTCTGTCCTATAGGGTCGCTATGAGTCGGAATCAACTTGACAGCAATGGATTACGTACCCTGGGTAGTAAAAATGGTAAATGCACTCAGCTGCTAACCAAAAGGTTGGAGGTTCGAGTCCACCCAGAGGCACCTGGGAAGAAAGGCCTGGAGATCTACTTCCAAAAAATTAGCCATTAAAACCCTGTGGAGCACAGTTCTGCTCTGACACACATGGGGTCAGCATGAGTCAGAGTCGCCTTGATGGCAACTGAGGGGAGAAAACAGATTGTGTACCAGGAAGTATTGTAAGCGCTGGAGATAGAGCAGTAAACCCGGCAGCCACCCTCACTGCTGTCAGAACCCTAACACCTCATGGTGGGGAAAGCTGTGGAGGAAATCAGCAAAATAACGTTCAGATAGTCGTGTGTTTTATAAGGGAAAAATAAAACAGGTTAGAGCACAGAGGAAGACTGAACCAACGTTTAAGACTCTGGAGATTTTGCCTAAAAAAAACCTGGATTTCTGTTTTCAAAATTCAGACTCTTGTGGCACTGGGTCACAGGCCGACGTGGCCGCGACTGGATACAGAGGTGTTGGTGCTGTTGCCTCTGGGCAGGTGTGAGTTCTCCACTTTGCCACAGTCCTCTCCATTCCCAGGTGTCGCCCCAGTGGCCCAGAGTGCACATTTCATGTGGGGAAAACAGGTATAGACTAAGGGAGCATGTGTTTGAAGACAGTTAAAACCTATTGCCATCAAGTTGATTCCAAGTCATAGTGACCTTATAGGACAGAGTTGAGCTACCCCATAGGGTTTCTAAGGCTGTAATCTTTACAGAAGCAGACTGCCACATCTTTCTCCCACGGCGGATGGTGGGTTTGAACCGCTGACCTTTCAGTTAGCAGCCGAACACTTAACTACTATGCCATCAGGGCTCCTTTGCATCACCCAGGGACTCCTAAAGCCATATACTCTTTCCTAACTCTCTTGAGGAACCCTAGTGGCACAGTGGTTAAGTGCCACTCCATGGGAGAAAGATGTGGCAGTCTGCTTCCGTAAAGATCACACCCTTGGAAACCCTATGCGGCAGTTCTACTCTGTCCTATAGGATTACCATGAGTCAGAATCAACTCAATGGCAGTGGGTTTTAGGTGATGTAAATGCTTCATCGGCTTGGCTGCTAACCAAAATGTTGGAGATGCAAGTCCACCCAGAGGTGCCTCAGAAGAAAGACCTGGCAATCTACTTCTGAAACATCAGCCACTGAAAAGCCTACGGAGCACAGTTCTACTCTGGCACACATGAGGCCACCGTGAGTCGGGGTCTACTCCCAACAGCTGGTGTATTTGGTTTGATATTGCTTTATGAAAGGGAAGACTACTCCTCTGTGCCTCCTGGGCCAACATAGAACATCTTTGTCTAAAGAATACAACCTAAGAGGACATTACGAGCCACGAGCCACTTTGTGATCTGTGTGCCCTGAAATCGAGAAAATAACGATAGGTGAGTCTTGGCGAGCCGAAATGTCACAGTGTGCCCTTGTGAATGTGGATAAGCTCAGGGATGCTGCCTGGTTCCTCTCACACCTGACCTGCTCCCCTCATTCCCTCCACCTGCGGGCCCCAGTGGGCAGTGGGCTTCCAACACTGGAGTAAGAGCCGACCTGAAGCCAACGGAAACAGGGTCATCAGCGCCCCCCAGTGGACGCTTGGTTCCCTGCAGCTTTAATCCTAATGCCTCCTCTGGCTAGAGGTCTGGGCCTGGAATGAGGGCAGCTGGCTGCTCCTTACACCCTCCCCCAGGAATGCTTCTCACCCACAAGGGCCTCTCCCCACACTCTGTTGCACACCCACTTTGCAAATGAGGCTAGGACATCCTGGGAGTGCAATGAAGTCTTCATCTGTTTCCTCTG